GAATTAAACAAATCAAGGTCTCCCTAGTTCCAGGCCACCTCAGCAAATTCGGCGAGGTAGAAATAATCGCCGGGAGGCTCAACCACATATCTTTTGTGCTGCCCCAACTAAGGTGCTACCTGTGCTCACTGTACAGATGGCTCAAAAACTGGTTTGCAACGAGTGCACCCAGACCTACCCCACAAGATGTGCGAGAAGACTTGACGTTCTGGCTCCACACGCTATCCACCTTCTCCAAGACAAGACTCCTGCCCAGTCCGACACCGACAGATATCGGGTGGGTTGGTGATGCATCAACAAGTTACGGCGTAGGAGTGTTCATCGGGAAACACTGGACCCAACTGAAAGTAGTCCAGGGCTGGGACTCAACATCGAACCCCTCTAGAAACATCGCCTGGCTGGAGACAGTGTCGATTTGGATAGGATTGCTGATGCTCAAACGCCTGAGGGCTATCCCAGGCAAGCTTTTTGTGGTCTGGACAGACAACACAACCGCGGAGAATGCGGTACACAATCGGAAGTCCAAAGATCAGGCGGCCAACGAAGAGTGGAAGAGCATCCAGTCACTCCTGGTAGAAATGCAAATCAATATCACGGCTAGGAGAGTAGCCTCTAAAGAAAACAAAGCCGATGCACTTTCCAGAGGTGATAATTCCGGTCTAAAACATTGTAATTACGTCCCCGTCATCCTGCCCCCAGATTTAGAACTCCTATTCGTTCCCGCTTTGTAATGCTTTAAAACTCCTAGTTCTCCTCGTAATGACATGCCACCCAACATAGTATGAGACATGTCTCGCACGGCTAGTGCAATTTGAAATGAATTAAGTCCGGCATCGGAAAAAAAAAAAAAAAAAAAAAAGAACCCGAAAGGGAGAGAGAGACCCCCTCCTGAGATGTCGGAGTTAATTTCCAGATAAGAATACCAAACAACATGAGTTCCACCGACCTAACCAAGCTATCTGCCTTCCTGGCGAACGGATCGACCCCGAGGACACCGCTCCCGATAGACGTACACTACCTGAATGGTTTCAAATGGAACACGATAGTGAGCTACAACGCAGCCGTCAAGAAGTTCATGAAGTTCAAGGCGGACAAGGGGGAAATACCTTTTGCCTTACCTGCGACAGCCGAAGACATCTATCAGTTCTGCTTCTGGGCGGGACGCAATGAATTCCAGCAAACTACACAAGAGGTGAAGGCTACCACTATCGAAAAATACCTATATGGCATACAAGCCTGGCACGAATACCACTCGGCTCAGTACCCGAAAGAAACAAAAACGAAAGTCAACACCCTTCTGAAGTCGTCGGCGAAGGTGGACGCGCAGGTTCTGACTAAACCCCAAAAGGCGGTGGTACACTTGAAACACCTCCTGATCTTAGTGGACGGACTATCGGGGAAAGGCGAGAAAGAAGAAGCCATAAAGGATCTGGTGGTCACCGCTTTCTGGGGGATGGCACGTATGGCGGAACTCACGTATAAGAACGATTCAGGCCCCATCCCTAAAGCCTCGTCACTACTGACCTCAGAAGTTTCACCGGCCCAACCAGACCAACGCGGCGTGATGAACCTTACCCTACGCAACGCCAAGACCTGCGCCCCAGGGAAAACGAAAGAGATCCAACTACGGAAGCTCGGAATGAAACTATGCCCAGTGGAAGCGGTCGGAAGGCGACTTGCGAACGCGAAAGGGGTAGACACATCCCTTTTTGGGTTCCAGGCTAACGGGAAAAGACATCATTTGACGCGAAACGTGGTGGTTGCCGCGATCAAGAAAGTCTGGGCCGACAACAACCTCGAAGGCCTGTAGGGCCACTCGTTCAGAGTAGGAGGAGCATCCCTCCGAGCCGCGATGGGGGTACCGGTGGAAGAGATATGCAGCCTAGGCAGGTGGACCTCAAACTGCTACAAATTGTACCTTAGACCTTACTCACCGGCCAAGGTGGCGGAATCAAAGACTCTTCTACGACGCCTAGCAAATGGCGGTTGATAAATTACCAAAAAAAAAAAAAAAAAAAAAAAACCACCAAGAGGGTCCAAAGATGGCCAGACAGGGAGAAACGCTTCGGGCGGAGTGGGGGGTTTCGCCGAGAGGGCTCAGGCTCCTCCGAAGCCAGAGTGGATGGGGCTAGCGCCGATCCCCCCCCCTCCTAGATAGTTTCCTCTCCTTGTCTCTCTGCTCGGGAGTGTTCCCTTTATCCTCCCGCAGTCGTTAAACGACACGAGAGGAAGGGGGGAACATTTCCCCCGACCCTCACACGGCTTCTTTGGGGGGCAACGAAACAGTAGCCCTCGGAGAAGCCAATTGGCTATGAGTAAACACAGACCAGCCTAAGTAGGCGGTTTAAGATTCACATCTTGCCATGTGTCAGAAGACAAAAAGAGGTCACTCAGGGGCGCACCTGAGGGGCCGCCTTGAGAGCGTCCCTGGGGAAACAGGGACGCTCCTCCTCTCTCTTCCTCCCATGCGGTAGTGAGAATGGATGGTAGGTGTACAGCAGGGCATAGCCCCGAGTTCACCGGCGTCCATGGAGCGGCAGTAGGCTATGCCGCGACGGCCAGGACGGGCAGACTTTCGGCCGGGACCAGGTTTAGGTTTGGCAGCCGGACGATACCTAGCTGCACAGCAGAGACGCAGTCTCATCCCCAGTCCTGGCCAGAGCCGAGTGAATCTAGATAAGACACTCTTGGCCCCTGGCCCAGTTTCTCCCTAGCGATTTCACTGTCTAGATCAGCACAGCATCCATCATAGCCTCAGGTGCGCTCTTCAGGGAGAATCCAGTGTCCTTTTTTGCACCACCCACGCAGCCATCAAAAGAGAGAGGGGAGGACGGAAGTACATAGGAGGGGTGGGGCTAGCGCCGATCCCCCCCCCCTCCTAGATAGTTTCCTCTCCTTGTCTCTCTGCTCGGGAGTGTTCCCTTTATCCTCCCGCAGTCGTTAAACGACACAAGAGGAAGGGGGGAACATTTCCCCCGACCCTCACACGGCTTCTTTGGGGGGCAACGAAACAGTAGCCCTCGGAGAAGCCAATTGGCTATGAGTAAACACAGACCAGCCTAAGTAGGCGGTCTAAGATTCACATCTTGCCATGTGTCAGAAGACAAAAAGAGGTCACTCAGGGGCGCACCTGAGGGGCCGCCTTGAGAGCGTCCCTGGGGGACCTATGTAAGCTACAAAGACCCAGTATAAGACTGGGTCTGGATATGCATATATTATCAGTCCCAAACTGAGTAACCGCGCTAAATTCAGAGAATCCCGCATTTTCAAATCCCGAGCCGATCCCGCGGGACTTAACATGTTGATCGAAAAAAAAAAAATTAAATGGATGCCCCACACCGCGGCCGACCGGCCACACTTCAAAAATGAAGGCTAATCCCCTAGTTCTCTTTGGTACAAGTCGACCTACAAGTCCGGCCAACAGACCTCAGCTACTAGCCACCCAACCTCCACCTCCACATCAATCCACCCTACACAACCCTCCCTCCCAACGCTCTCGTCGGCTACATATCATCAAAAAAAACACATCCATGGAATCGCCTCACTATACCAGCAGCGGATCCGCTTTGCAAGCTCAATATCAACCTGGAACCGATCAACCTCCGACCTTCAGCTATCAACTTGAACCCTACCACGACCCTCAATATCTTCCTCCGAATCTTTGTTTTGGAATCCAAGAGGACCCTCAATATGCTCCTCTGAATGATCGAGTTGAATTCTGCCAGGACCGATATCGGAATCATCAATATGAGCCCTCCCAGGACCCGCGATATCCACCTAACAATCAACAAGCCGATGACTACAGCTCTTATGATTGCAACAACGAGCACGTTCCAGGCTCTTACTTGTCACACACCAGTCCCAATATCCACCCCAATCATCCGGATCATCGACATGGCTCTCCTCGATATGCCGATATGGAACTCAACCTGGAGCGCGACCGTGTTGGCTATCAAGACCCTCCCTCGCACAGCCGCCAACACTACCACCCGCAAGCAACACTAGCCAATATAATAAGGCATAACAGCCCCAGGTCTCATGCAACTCCTCACCTCAGTCCTGCCATCCCCCCCAACTCGGTTTACTCCACTGGCACAGCTCACACAATGGGCACTACCACCTCTCGCATGCCTGATGCTCCTCATGATCTAGTTCCGTCGACCTTACCACCGTCTGGTAGTTCTCACTTGACTGTTGGAAACGACGGAAACGACCCCGACACTTCCCCTGGTAGTTCTCGCTTGACCGTCGGAAATGACGGAAACAACACCGGCACTCTCTCTGGTAGTTCTCACTTGACCGTCGGAAAAGACGGAAACAACCCCGGCACTCTCTCTGGTAGTTCTCACTTGACCGTCGGAAACGACGGTGGCACTTTCGACAGCACTTCTCTTACCGATGACAGCTTGCCAAACGATCCCCCCCCTTCTCTTACCGATGGCAGCTTGCCAAACGATCCCCCCCCTTCCCTTACCAATAGCAGCTTACCAAACGATCCCCCCCCACATAGTGCAACCCATGTCCCCAATACTAGCCTTGCCAAGTCGCTCTCGCAGCCCACTCCCACCAGCGTAGTCAAGACTCCCGCAGTCAAGATACAACTTACCCCTGACGATGTCATGAGAACGTTTGAAGCAAAGACCCTCAGTCAGTTGCGTGATCTTCAACGAACGCATATTCATTACAAGAAACTCAATCTAGCGATCAAAATTGAGGCACAAGACCTTTACTTCGACTATCAGAGAAAGCAACACCTTCTCTCCTTGAAACATAGCCGGCCATTCAATCTTTTGACTAAATATCTAGGACAGCGCCGCACCCGACAAAAGGAAACCTCTTGGCACAAGTTCCGCAAGAACAATCCGGATGCCAAGGCTGCTCTGAAAAACAGTAAGTAATGTTTGCAACTTGTCTGATATCTGAATGGACTCTAGTTCTTCTTATTTACTGACAGCTTTGTGTTCCAATCTTCCTGTTTGCCAGCCAACAACAATATCGGCCAGCGCAACAAAGATGTCGGCAAGCTTTACAAGCAGCATAAAGCAACTCAAGCTGATCCTGAGCCATCTAACTCGCAAGTCACAGTCGATTCTGACGCCGATCCTAATGCTGAAGAACGTGGTCGATTTGGTAAAATCTTCAAGTCCAACGAGACCCTCAGACAAGAAGTCAAGGATTGGGCCAATGGTGTTCAACTCAAGGTAAGATAACATTCTTTGAATCATTGAATGTTTGTATGCATATTGAAGCATCTATTCTCTTTGATAACAGTTAAAGGAGCTTAGTGACTCCTTTGGAGTTGAAGGCTTTCTTGTCCTTGCTGCACAGGACCACCGAAAGCCCCTATTTTTTCAGGGTGGCAGTCTACTTGGCGATGACTACCTGCGTGGACTCATCGATGAGGGTAATCCAATGCGCAAGTTTGCTTTATGGACGGCGGGATCTAAAGCGGCTTCCAAGAAGAGGAAGGCCCCGGACGATAGCAATGCCACGGCAAATAAGGATACCGGTGAGGCTTCAAAGAAGAAGACCAAGTACGCGGTGGCAGCTTTTGAAAACCGAGATGTCTGTCAAGGTATGTTTTCAACTGCTACAGTTTTTGGTTTGTTGTATTCATTGATTGTTTTCAATCCATTTAGGATATCTTGCTCTCAACCATAAATACATTGCAGAAGAGCTTGGACTCATGTTTAGTAAGTCTGGCCCTTTAATTCTTGCTCCTACTGATGTCTGATTTTGATTTTTATCAATCATTTTTACCTTCAGAGGCTGCGCAGTCCAAGAGTACCATCAAAGGCAAGCTTAGACCCTGGCCTGGCACCGACACCATCCTTCGACTGGCGAGAATCAATCACAAACTTGTCATTCAGAAAAATCCAGTAGGCCTCTCCGTGGAACATTTAATTAATGTTCCTGTCAAGAAGATGTCGATTGAGCATACCTGGCTTGTCCTTCGAGGCTTGAAGAACAAGTGGATCAACTTGGTCGAGCATCAATTTGATACCCTCCCAAAATCAGCCCACGTGCGTAAACCAAAGGTGACCACCGCTAATACCACTTCTTTGAGGCAGGAGGAGGAGGAGGAGGAGGAGGAATATGATGACGAGGACGACGAGGACGACGAGGATGACGAGGATGACGAGGATGACGAGGATGATGAGGATGACGAGGATGACGAGGATGAAGACGAAGATGATTATTAGGAAACATTGCCTGACTGCTGCCATATATCTGTTCACTGCATTTCTATCTGCCTTCCTGTCCTGCTTCCATACTTATGGACCTGACTGCTTTTCCATACATACAAACCTGACTACTTGCATGCACAAAAATAAAAATAAAACAACTGATCCCATATCCACAAACCTGACTGCTACCATATAACTTATCTGTTCACTGCATTTCTATCTGCCTGCCTGTCTTCTTTTCCCATATAAGTGTTCAATGCATCCCTATATGCCTACAATCTAAGATACATGCTCACCATGTGAAATCTCATTTTATTTTCAAACAACTATTTGATTCCCCTTAAAAAAAACTGCTGAATATGACATTGAGTTTCAATACTTTTGAGCCAATGAGTATGATATGTTCACATGTCAGAGGGAAATCATTGTTTCCTTCTCAAGTTAATAAAAAACAATTCAAGACTACAACCCAGTGACTAACAGTGAATGCAATCATAATTCTTGTCACACACCTGCTTATCTACTAAAATCAGGCTTTATTTATGCCTTTCATTCTTTGCATCGGCTCAGTTGCAATTTCCTCAAATATAAGTATCCATCACTTTCAATTTCTTCAGAAGTTGGTTGCACAAGTAAAGATGAAGATGTACACAAAATAGGTTTGCTGCAAACCTACTTATTTGCTACTACACTCAGGCTTTATTGATACATTGTGTTTAGTTTTCAAGACTGGGTCACCAAATTGATAAAGTTCAGCCATTAATTCAATTGTGTTTGTTTTGAAATTTGATCCTTGGGCCATTGATCATCAGATTTTTATAAGGGAAATTGGGTTTGCTTCAAAGACTGCTGGAAATCTGATTTCTTCATATGTTGAATGTTTTACTGGGAAATGGTTTGAAAATCTTCAAGGAACCAGGGTAACACTATGAATGTGTGCATCTCAAATTTTAATTTTGTTGCATGACTATTAGTGAATTTATCACAGAGTCAGGTTTACCACACACTTGCTTGTTTGCTACTATCATGTTTTATTAGGTTTTATTGATTATTTCCATGTTGTTCACTTGAATATTTTATTTCAATAGATCATTTATCACTCAAAGCCTACAGGGGATTGGTTATACAGTCAATCAATATCAGAAGGTTATCACATTGGATATCTTGGGCAAGGGTATATGTGCATGTATGGTTCCAAAGCATGTATTCTTTGTTCATAATGTGTATGAACAAAGAATCCATGCTTTGGAATCAAGAAAAAAGGTTGAGTAATGATGAAATGGGAAATGGCCACAGAAAGTGAGTGTTTCCCTTAACACACACATTCCAGTGACCATGTGTTGGTAGGGGTATATGTGGGGTGCATGTATGGTTCCAAAGCATGTATTCTTTGTTCATAATGTGTATGAACAAAGAATCCATGCTTTGGAATCAAGAAAAAAGGTTGAGTAATGATGAAATGGGAAATGGCCACAGAAAGTGAGTGTTTCCCTTAACACACACATTCCAGTGACCATGTGTTGGTAGGGGTATATGTGGGGTGCATGTATGGTTCCAAAGCATGTATTCTTTGTTCATAATGTGTATGAACAAAGAATCCATGCTTTGGAATCAAGAAAAAAGGTTGAGTAATGATGAAATGGGAAATGGCCACAGAAAGTGAGTGTTTCCCTTAACACACACATTCCAGTGACCATGTGTTGGTAGGGGTATATGTGGGGTGCATGTATGGTTCCAAAGCATGTATTCTTTGTTCATAATGTGTATGAACAAAGAATACATGTTTTGGAACCATACATGCACCCCACATATACCCCTACCAACACATGGTCACTGGAATGTGTGTGTTAAGGGAAACACTCACTTTCTGTGGCCATTTCCCATTTCATCATTACTCAACCTTTTTTCTTGATTCCAAAGCATGAATTCTTTGTTCATACACATTATGGACAAAGAATACATGCTTTGGAACCATACATGCACCCCACATATACCCATACCAACACATGGTCACTGGAATGTGTCAGTTGTGGCCATATATCATTTCCACATTAACTTTGATAACTTCACTTTTAGTCATGGAAAAACTATAAAATTTGGGAAAAAAGATTGTTAGTCATGAACTAATTGTGAGAAATCTTTCAAGCCTTTCACTGGTGAAACATGTGAAACATGTAAATGCTGAAGAAATTATTTTTCCAGCTGTTCAGGCAGGGACACCAAACCACTATATAATTTTTCAATGGGTAATGATAAAAATGGAAAAAATATAAATGTAGATAGCATATAAGGCTGATTGTTGAGGTCCTTCATCATTTTAATATAGGGGTAAGGATGTGTTGGTTTGAGTTGTGTTGTCAAACTGTTTAATGTAAAGAAAGTCAGCTGCTGCGGGGGCTTGAATGCTTTTATAGGAGGGTGTCCTATTTTCCTTTGCAACCAAAAATTCATCGGAGAACCCCGCCTAATTGCCAGTACCATTATTAATCTTCGCTTTATTGGATTCTCAGCTCATTGAACATAAGCCGCCCCAACAAATCTCTCTGGACTCGTAATGGCGCCCAATTGAAGCAGACCAAAAAACCTCTATCAATTCCACTATGGCAGCCAACTTTTCCCAACTGAAACTCGCACCCAAAAACAACTTCGACTAGCTTGTCAGACACGGACCAAATTAGAAACAGCACCAACGTTGAGAAGAAACTTGAATCACACAAATGATGAAGACAATGCAACCGAGGAACCCAGTCATCCTGAAACAGGAACAGAAGAATACAACCGCTTGGGTTTTAATGAAGGACCATCGATCTGGGAGGATACGGAAGAGATACTAAACGAAGAAGACAAAGCTTCTCGCGCTCGCCTGAGGTCTCTTCACCAAGAAATGATTGAACAGCAACGCCATCGAAATTGGCAGGACGTCATGGCCTGCTTATTCCCCGCTTACCTTCACTTCAAGAAGCTGACCACAAACTGGACAGTTCCAAATCCATTTCTCAATCAATCGGACGAAGTATGCCGCTGTCCCGCTGAACGTTTCAAGGAGCGGGAGGTGGACTTAATTGATTTGATGGGTAAGTCCTTTCATCTTGGTTCACCGCCCAACTTTCTAGAAATTGATGAGGGTTTGATTTTCAGGTCAAAGTCGAACCAAGGTCGCTTTCTGTCCCTGCACCCCGGATGCTGTTCATCTACTTGCAAACGGTTATCTTGCAAGCACACCTGTTTTCCCACAGACCGCCTTCTCTGTCCGATTACTCAACTTCTACGATCTCCTATGGAACATTTGCAACGCTCATACTACGCCGTTCGCCAAAGTCTTACAACGATGGAATGAATCACTTTCAATGAGGCTGCATGCCAAAAATTCCACAAGGGTATGTTAATTCTTTTATTTTCATGACATTAATCATTTGATTTCTTGATTACAATCTTACAATTTCCAACTGCATGTTCCAGCCTCGAGATATTCGACGAAATCTAGTGGCCGCAATCGATGCATACCGCACTTTGAAGAGCATGGAACGCAAGCTCATTCAAAACATAACCTCGACAAACCAGCAAGATGTCCTTGCTCAACAATCCTGCCCAGCCTGCTTTGGCGTCTCGGTTCCCGAAAGCAATCCAACTGAATCTACAGCCGACTCAGCTGATGATCATCAAGTCTTCATTTGCCTCGACGGCAACTTTCAGCATCGTCATCACAAGCGAGCATCAAAGAACTACATAGGAATCAAAAGCCAGACGCTCTTTGTGCCATCGAACGAGATCGAGGTATCAAATAGTGAGATTCGTGAAGCGGAGATTTCCAAGCGGGTGTCAAAGAAAGCGGTAAGATAGTATCCTGCTTACTTACCAAGCCCAGCCACTGAAGTCTGGAAACTTCATTTCGACCCATATTAGAAGGACCGTTGTGCGCAGCAGCATAAAGCTGCTGACGACCGCCGAAACGCGAGTTCTTGGAAAGGCTGTGACGACACCGGGCTCTTTGGCTGCTGCTGTCGCCACGACTCAGTCATCGCATTCTGTAACATCCACAAGACAGGTGAAGGGCGAGGTCTCCCGATGTCAATAATTAAATCCTTTCTCAGCTCAATTAATCCTAACATCAAAGTCGGGGTTCTATATGACATCGGATGTACCCTCAAGAAGTTTTTCCAAGCTCGTGGTTTGCTGACCGATCAACTCCCAAGAATGAAGTTTGCGACTGCAGTTTTCCACTCATACGTGCACGATTGGCCATGTCAGATACAGTTCAACCCAAGGTACAACATCGGATGGGGCTTAACTGATGGGGAAGGCTTAGAGCGCTTGTGGTCTTATCTGTCCCCCCTCGTCAGTCCCCTAAGGTATGCAACCAGGAACCATCGGATCAGTGCAATCAATCATCGCAGTCTATTCCATAACGTGCTTTCAAGAGAGAATATCGGTATTTCATTGTCTTTTCATTCGCTTTCACATCTACCGATTCGGATCATCTACTGATTCTATATTTTTCCTAGTATTGTCACTGAAGCGGAAATTTATCCATGCAGTCACAACAAAGAAGCCATTCTTCACAAAATGCTACAGGATCGAAACCCTCACAAGCCAGGCCAAAACTATACAGTAGATTTCTTTCGAGCCCAATGGCAAAAACAACGCAAGTTTGAGATTGATATCAACCAAACCAACCGCGAGAAAAAGGCGCAACAAGCTCAGTTTTACGAAAGAGGGGAAGCATTGAAAAATCTTGCGTGAGTCGCTATTTTTGCTTTGACATTCAGGTTCTTCTTTCTTATCATGTTCTTCTTTCTTACATATTCAACTCTGACACCAATATTTCAGTGAAACGTTGGTCGAGAACATCAGCGATTCCTCGACTCACTCAGACCGGCACATTCAATGTTGATACTGCAGCAGATACGAGACCTCCAGAAGCTACAAGACGAGGAAGCGAAAAAACTTGGCTCGCTTTTTGTGGTCGAACCCGGGGCTGACCGTGATCGTAAGTAATGTATTTACTCTCAGGTGGACAGAAATTTCTGTTTCTTATGACATTAGTCCTTCACAGTGGAACAAGAAAAACGGCTTGGATTGCTTTGGAGTGCGAAAAGCGCCCTTCACAAGCGTGCGGTACAGATACAAGGCGAGATGCAACCGCTGCGTGATTCAAGGGCTCGTAAGGAGCGACTTGGCACAGTTCTGAAAGAAAAAATATTCGAAGCACTTGGACGTCGTAAGAAGACGGTTACCAACATCCTCAAGACTTTTTGCGATCGCCGGACCGACTACCTGAAAAAGCATGCACCTGACCAGCTGAGTCTACCTGAAAACCAACCAATCACTTATGAAGAATTCACCCAGCTGCGACTCGACGACCCCTTCTGGAATGACACCTACTTGTCCTTGTCAAAAGACCCTTGGGCGGTGGATCCATCTGTTCGAACTGGAATCCACGCTGTTTTACGATTGGATCGCGCTTTAGAAGAACAAGTACAGCTGAAAAATGAGCTGCGACGATGTGTGTCGTGGGGAATTCACTTTCGAAATCAGCTCAAACATCGTATTGATCAGTGTGTGTTTGGTAGGTGACTTGTCTATCACATTTCTTTAGGTTCCCTGGTTTACAACTGACATTATTTATCTATCTCTTGGTCAATCAGATACTGCCGACCAAAAACTCAAGAATGTAATGCAAGATGCGTTTGGGGCAGTTTCGTACGAGATTCAAAAAATTACAAGCAATCATTTGGAAACAGTTCAGAAGGAGCACGAGGACGTCTTGCTAAATTGGCAACCGGTAGTCGAAGAAATCCTTGCGATGGGTCTCGTGTCTCGAAGTTATTTACCTGCTGAGTGGTTTGCTTTGGTTGTATTCCTGAGGCAGAACAAACAGTCCTCACAAGCCGATGTCGATCTCCTCTTGGAAGAGACTATACTCGATGCCCAAGACTCGGACGGAGAGTCCGAGAAAGACGATGATGTAGTCAACACAGGCTCAAGGGGTTTAGAACATGTCCCGCCAGAAAATGATGACATCGACAGCGAGCCTGGTGATTCCTAACAGCCCTAGCCTCTTTGTTCTCCTGTCTCGGTTTCTCATATATTTTTGTGCTCTCATATTTTCTAAGTTTATAATTTTTCATGAGCAATAATTTACTCTTAATTAATTCCCTTGATGTATGTACAAATTTGAGGAGACATTAAGACTAAGATGAGCAAAAAATGAACAAGTGAGAAAAAGTAATGGAGAGACAAAAGAAAATCAAGCACAAAACAAAAAACTTCAACTTCAAAAGAATAAAGAGAAAAAAACACATGAAGAGGTGTGTGGTTGATGTGTCAGGTGGTGAGGTGCGTTTGGAAGTGATGATGGGACTGCTCGCGGTCCCCTGGGGAACGTTCTGGAGGACTTTGTTTTTTTCGGATGATGTCTGTTGCGCAGCTACATTTGGAGTGTGGCCGCGGTGTGGAGCATCCATGTAATTTTTTTTTTTTCGATCAACATGTTAAGTCCCGCGGGATCGGCTCGGGATTTGAAAATGCGGGATTCTCTGAATTTAGCGCGGTTACTCAGTTTGGGACTGATAATATATGCATATCCAGACCCAGTCTTATACTGGGTCTTTGTAGCTTACATAGGTCGTAACACCATACGAAAAGAATGATGTCCTCGCTCCCCCTGGTTGATGTCCAGTCCAAGCGAGGCTAGCTCACCTAAAAAAGCAGAGTTTTGATTGACTGTTTCGCGTTCAAGTTATATATAAATTATCTGGTAAGACTGCATAGACGCGGGTCTGTCTCTCTATACTTAACATCAAGGGGACTGCCCATTTGCCAAGCTTCATAGCGAATGCATATCTCGCATTCACGTTTGTTGCAAGGCAAGACACTTACGTTCGTTGGAGGTATGATAGGCATTAAATTACACACATCAGATGAACAGCTGAGGCAGGATACAAAACAAGAAATACAACAAGAGAGCCATAAAAGAGAGATTGCATATTTTTCATCTGCAAAGAGCGCTGTAGTTAGTTTCACTGAGTTGGTCCTGATCCATGAAAACAGCAAAGAAACTCACAAGATTGGCATAAGCTTCTTGGCTTCGTTCAACCCAATCTCCTCCTCGATCTGGGCCTCGATTCTTCATCTTCGTCTTGGCTGTCGTCCCGGCTTCGGTTGTTAAGATCATCATCATCTGGGATTTGGTTTATCGAATCGTTTTCGTCTGGATTCCCAAGACGTCCTTGCTCATGAGGCCTAGGTGGTGTTCCAAGCCTTAGGCGCGAGGGTGGACCTTCGTGCAAGATCAAAGTTAACGCTCTTGGGTGACGGACAGGGGAGGCACCCGGATTCAGTGGGCGGACCACGGCGGGGTGGGTCGGCCAGTAGCGATTCAAGGCTTTTTTGTCAACATAGCTTGAGCGCCGACGTTTCTTTCGGCCATTCTGAGTCTCATTCTCGCTAGGAGGATTAGCGTCTTAAAGAATCGGGGGGGCCAGATATGTGCTTAGCGTCGCGTTGGTCTCTTGAAAACTTTGCGACAAAAAAAAAACCAACATACCTTGGGGCGCATCTGATGTGACTTTGCTTGATTGATCCTCAGAATAGTCATCGCTAGGAGTGGTAGGATCTTGAATGATTGCAAGCAAGAACATCACATCAGTGCCGTGTCCTGAAAAGTAGCTAACCCTCAAACCAGCCTACCACGACTTCCGGATGCATCTGAACGTGATTCAGGGGAGAGAAGGTGTTCAGGCAGTTTGTCGTAATAGTCTGTGGCGGGCGAGGTTTCGTTGAGGAACGCAATAACTACATTTTTTCCACAGATAGAAATAGGATATCAGTGTTGTTCATATGGAAAATGACCATAGCTCTGAGAAACGCACTATCAAGATGGTGTTGATCCAGGCCGGAATATTCTTGATCGGTCTCGCGTGCCGCTTCCACTTCAGACCGAGTGAAGATATTAGAAATTAAGAGAGTGGCAGGAAGATCGTTAAGCACTCAATGACAAACGATCGTTGTGAATTTTGCTAGAAAAAAGTGAAGCCGACATACCGTCACTACCAGATGCCTCTGGGACAAAGTCGTAAAGATCTTCTGGATATTCAACCGCAGAAAGAACGGCGATACCTGAAAGATGCGTGGTTTACAGAGAGAAAAAAGAGAGATCAGCGTTGCGTGAAGCTCAAAGGTGACGATAGGGCGACAGAACACACTTTCAGCATCGAAGCCTTCATGCGATATCTCATTCTCGTTGGTATCCTCCATGGTAGATCGCGTAAAAAGATTAGAAATAAAAAGGATATGTAACTAAGCTGTTAAGAAGGGAACTAGAAACGATGTAGCGTGCTTTGGACTCTTTTTTTAGACTTTGTCTGAAGATGGGTTCAAAGAAGTTGTCAAAGATTTACTGCAAGTGGGGGGGGGGGGGGGGGGAGTATTGGGTGAGGGGAAAAGAAGTAAGACTGGTAGAAGAACTTCCGGAGTGGCCGAAAAGTCTCGCTACTTATATGAACGAATGCTAAAACTGCTGAGCCTGTAAGCCAATTAAAGCACGCTGCCTTTGTTGAGCAGCACACCAGCGTTAGTATATTAAAAGCTCCGCCTTCAACTGAGCATTCGATTAAATGAACGCGAGTGATGTGCGAAGCAAAGACAACTGGAACAAAGGCATTCCTCCACCCTTTGTGACCAAAGCCAACGTACGTAGCACTTGAATTGAATATTGTTCAGCAGTTGCAACACTCAATGGTGGTGATACCCTTTGATGACAGTGTTCAGTTGAGCATCTATTCGAGACAATGGAGCTACTCCGGCGAGTTTTTTTATCTAGGCTCAACTAGAGATCAATTCAATAGACATGACGTAGTCATAGTCCGGCTTTGTTGTTAATAATAAATGAGCCCCAGGTGATAAAGAAAGTGTTATTTCGGCTGGACTAATTGGTGTCTACCCATGCCTCTGGTTTTGGTTGAGTTTGTAGCCGACCGTCCGAAACGGCTTGAAAGTAATTGTGCTATAGTACCGGCCAGGAGTCAAATATCTGGATCAAAATTGTAGAGCAGATTGCTTGTAAGATTGGCACACCTTCAAGTTGTGCAAGTCTCTCAGCTGACATATGCGATTTCTTCTTTCGCTTCGAATGACCTAAAGGAAAAAATAAAGGGAAAGGGAAAGTTTTTGTAGATCAGGCGCACTTGATCCAGTCTCTCTATCTTGGGCGCAAGAGTGAAAAAATTCACTGCCTCCAATGAGATTCAACCGACGAAAAAGACGGTATGGTTTCAAGGGTAATGGAGTTTATCAATGAAGCAACATAAGTAATGGCTTTATGATTAACGTCTTAAGACAAAGGAGTACAAAGGAGGTTCTCCAGCAAGTTTTTAGGCTCAACCCAGCATCAACTGAATATATACAGCACGTGGTCCCAGTACGGCATTTCTGTAAATGAAAATTGAACCTCTGGGAATGAAAAGACTGTGATTTCGACCATGAACTAATTAGTGTCTACCCATGCCTCTGATGCTAGTTGATTTTGAAGCCGACAGTGCGGAACGGGTCAGAAGTCCTTGCCATGTAACAACGGCCAGCTCCTGACATTCCCGGTACTCGAGTCAAAAACCTTGATCAACATTGCACACCAGATTGGTTGTCAGGTCGGCACACCCTTCATGTTCTGCAAGTTTCTCAGCCGAAATGTGCGCTTTCATCTTTTGAATCAAATGATCCCAAGAGGAAAATAAAGGGAACGTGTTTGTAGATCAGGCGCACTAGATCCAGTCTCCCATCTTGACCTCAAGAGTCATAAACTCGGAAATCACTTGACCTTTACCCCCTCCAATGAGAATACACCAGCGAGAAAAAAGACGATATGGTCTCGAAAGTGACGGATTTGACCAATCAAGTATCATAGATAAATACTTTTCGATAACTGCTTTATCAAATTTTGAACCTGGACATCAAAAACGTTAGAATCATGTGAAAAGGGATCAAATTTGCAAAAAGCCTGTCGCACTCGTGGGCTTCCGGCATAATAAATTATGATCAGGATCTCATCAGATGAAAATGACATGCCAAAGGAACCATTCTAGAACATGCAGGGTGCAGTCTGGTGACAATCAGGTACATTTCAGTGTTAGTTTACCACCATCTTCTTACATTGATTTTATGAGCATCAGAGTGTTTGTAAAGGGAGAGTTTCATTTCTTTCTTGAGTCTGAGTACTAACAGCTTGTTGGAAGAATGGCAACTTGATCTACAGATGAATTAATCCAGCGGATTAGCAAATTACGTATATTGGCTACCTTCAAGATTCAATGAAGTGAGGAAAACACAAAAGCAAAATTCTCCCTTGTGAGCTTTGCTGGAAAACATAGGAAGAAATTTAGGATCAGAAAATTTGAATATATTAGTTAGTGGCAGTCTAACGACATAATTACAACTCAATTGGTTTTCTGTATGGAGAGTAATATATACACATAATGCATTGATTTCAGACACTGTTGGATTTAAGTATGTTGGTTCCCTTAGGCAATTGTATCTCATCTCACAAAAATGCTCAGATTCAAGAAAGCCTCCATTGAGTGTGGAATTGACTCACTACTTGAAGTGTTTTCCTTTTGGGCTGAGAAGTAGCCAGAGTAAACAAAACAAATTCAAAGAGGTGTACTTTGAAACATGAGGTGTAGAAAATTCTTCTGGGAGTTGATCTAACAGTAGGGTTGACAGCGCCACCCCCAGGTGCGCGCCAATGTGTGGGCGCCTCACACATTTTTCTAGAAAAGGGGGGTGTGCGCGCACTTCTAACCCTAATTTTTAGAGGGGGAGGGCTGGAGGCCAAGTGACTTTCCCAGTTTGAAAGGGCAACCCTGAAAGCTCCTTAAGCTATTCCATTGATTTGCTACTCTCTCTGACAGCTGAGTTCCAGGTCTCTATGTAGCTTTTTCTGACACATATGAGTGCGGAAATGCTTATGGGAGTCGGATGCTCAGAAATCCATTGATATGAGCAACAAAATCAAAATCGTCGATGTTGAAAATGACCCTGAGGAAACCAACT